GGACAGAGGCAGCAACAAGCAAAGGAGAGGTAATCTGCATATAAAACGCAGCAAAGGACACAAAACCTTTTAACTTGCCACAATTGGCATATGGAGGGGCGTTGTGTGTGTGTGTGGGGAAGGATTGTGAGTGTAATTTGCGCTTGCATGCAAATTGAAAAACAGTCAGAGCCGGGAAGTGAGTTGAAGACCCAAAGCCAATGCTGTTGCCCAACAGACCATGGAAAGTGAATGGCCAGAGAAGGGAGGGCGGAGTGTGGAAAGGATGAACGATTGGTGGATGGTGATGAAGCGATGTGCTCCATGCTGCAATTTAAAACAAATTGGCACAGTTTGTGAGGTGCTATTGTAGTTGTTATTGCTGTTGTTGTCCTTTTTGTCACTCAATTAGATGCAACTCATTTAGCGAGGCATTTGTGCGCAAAATGTTAATCAAAGCCTGATGGCTTTTGGGCGCAGTTTAGGCCAACTAATGAGATGGCTCTTCTGTTTTCGCACAACCAACAATCTGGCACACATATGGGTGAGTGTGTGTGTGTTTGTGAGTTTCGTCACTTTGGTGCTGCAATCTCAATTAATATGCAAAATTTATGCATGGGAAAAATCAAAACAAACAACGCGACAAAGACGAAAAGCATAACACAAAAATGAAATATGCCAGCGTCAAAAAAATCAATACAAATTAGCCAGACGCTGTTGTTGTTATTGGTGTTGTTGTTGTTGGGGCATCTATTGAGCGACAGATAAAACACAAGCTGCACAAAAAATTGTCATGTGTTCAAAACTAATTATGCATATGGGGCCAATAGGAGATTTCTTTATTTCTGCTTTAAGCCACATTTCACATTGCAAGCTTTTTGGCCCAATAGACCAGCCCTCCCTCGCCCCCCTCCCACCCCCTGCACCCCTGATGGAATGTTACAATTAAATTACTTAGTACAAATGCATTCGTTGCGGGTTGTAGCTGTCATGAAGGGTTCTTCTATATACATACTACTATATGTTTCAAAAACAACTGTTCAACAGTAGCTGCCAGTAATATTTGGATAAGGGCTGAAAAGCTTGTTGATTAATTGATTTGACATATTTTACATCTAAATATTTATAAAAAAAAAAAACTACTGAAGAACAAAATACCCAGAACTAAGAATATATAAATACTCAAATCGAAAAACTACATATAAGCAGTGATCGTCGGAAACTAACAGAGATATTGTTGTCGCGAACAGACCTGCTTCTTTTGATTTCATATATAAATATTTAAAATAAAGTGTAGTGCACTCCATATTTTAAATGAGCGTGTGAATATTTGTAAAAACTACCTGGTCTTACGAGCCGAACTAAAAAAAAGGATAGTTCGTTTAGCAAATGCATTTAGCAACCGAATCATATTCTACTTAGCGTACTCATGTGTTCCATTTGATTTGTACACTTTTTTAAATGATTAAACCAAGAACGGATTTAGCTTATTCAAAGATTAATCTATTCAATTCAAAATTTGTCTGAGGAATTCCAGCATTATGAGAAACAGAGCTATTCATGGGAAATTTTAATAATATTTTAAAATAAAACGTCTTTATATATGCTTTTTATAAAATGGGTTAACACAATTGTCCCAATTTCGAGTCAAAATGCCAAGTAATGTGAAAAAGATGCAGTTCAAAATCTGTAAGCTGTAGAAGTGCTGCTTTCAAAGAATGCCAATCATGGTGATATCACAAAAAATGATTATATATATTCATTGTAGTTGACTTTTAGAGTTGCATTATAAAAAGACTTATTGTATAAGTAATTAAGCTTATAAGTAGGGATTAATGTAGGTATAATTTATTCCTTAATAGAGAATTTTGAGATTGAGATCCATATTGGTCTTTTAAAGTAGATTTCGGTCTTCACGTTTTTAAGTACGATTCGAGGCGAAGTTAAGACTGTCTTTCAGTTTAATAACAGCAAAAATTGAGAAGAGCATGCAAACTTAATATGTAAATCGTTTTGGAACTGAATTAAATTACTCAATTATTTATGAACTCTTCTCTTTAAAACAAAACAAATTTAAAATTCCTTAAGTAAAGCAAATACGTTTATTACCATTTGCTTTTTCAAATAAAGACCAACTTTTAAAAGTTAAAACAGAATTAAAGGATTTCTAGTTTAAGATCTTAAAGTAGAGCAATAAATGCTGTATTTTAAATTGCGAGAACTGCATGAACTGCTTAAATATTACATTATTATTACAGTGACTTCAACCAATTTATAAAATGTTTCAAAAAAAGATATTAAAATTATTTATGAATGCCCTTTCTGGAATATAATTAGTAAATTTTTATGCTTCCGCCAGGATGTTTAAATTGTTGATTAAATTGATGTACTTTTATAGTATAGTGTAAGGACTTGGCGGCCAAACATGTTACAGTTGCTGCATTTGATGACTTGCTGATGAAAAAGTTGTGCCAGCTAGCAAATAATTGCAATGCGCTGCATGTTGTGGCTCAAAGGACATGGCTAAGGACAGCGGGTGGCCCAAAGTTGGCAACTTAGGCAGGCTGCCAAAAACAAAATGCTTATCCAGCGACAGGACAAGGGATGTTCACGAGCACTATGATGATGATGACTGCGATGACCTGCGCAACAATAGTTTGCATCTCACAGATACATGGCTAAGTAGAAAAAGGCGCGTAGTTGCCATTGTTGTTGAACTCGTTGTTGTTGTTGTTGTGGCTGGTCCGCCGCAATCAACTGCACTACATGTTGCGGTTTCTTCAACAACTCGTGTGTGCCGAGCTTGTACCTAATCACATTAGCACGTGCACATCCTTTGGCCTCCACACACACGAACCACAACCTCTATGCTCGTATGCACTCAAAAAAATTAGTGTTTACATTTTATGAATTCAAGCGGTTGAAGAAATTAGCTGCTTATGTCATCGTAATAGCTGGCTTTAACTTAGTAAATCAGTTTAAAGCCATTGTAAGCACTAAGTCGTAACGGTTTTATCTTTTTATTTAAGCTTTAAATACAAAATGTAGTTACGATCATTTACCTCCTATATATGCTTTATAGATATAATAATAGTCGATTAAATATGCGCTTGAAATACACTTCAAATACAGTTTCTTCCAAAGGATAAATGATAAAATGATAAATGAAATGTATATGTCGAGTTTAGTATGTCTAGCTCTTAAAGTAAAAAAGATATTTAGGTTCATACAGACAGACAAACGAAGGAATATATATTGTATGTATATTGCTTGGGGTCTTTCTATATAAATACTGATGGCCATTTCCTTTTAAATGTCTGTTTATTTATAATAAATCTCACCAATTAGATAACAAAGTTAACTTTGGAGCTAATATTTAATATTGAACTACATTTTCGCTGAGTGTAGCTACTGTTCCCCAGACTGCCGTTACCAGCTACATAAGAACATGCAGAAGGAGTAGAGCAACAACAACTGGTAGCTTGAAACTTGCCACAGCCACAGCCACATTCACTGTCAAAACTAAAAACATTTTGGACGCTTTGTTTTGTCGAATTGTGCGCGCCTCAGTTTCGAGCCATTTTGTTTGTCGATTTTGATTATTTGTCTGGCGCTGCCTGCCTTTGACTGTTCAGAATTTTCATTTGCTTCAATTGTTTTAGCTGGTCATGTGTGTGTGTTTGGCTCTGTGGCTGCTTTTGCATTTGAGTTGTTGGCCCAACAACCAAGGCAAGCAAATAGTTTTGTATTTCAAAGTTGAACACTTCATGAGCGCTGGCTGCGTAAGTTTTGCATTTCGTTTTTCTTGTGTGCGGTTTTTATTTTTTGTGAAGCGCAAACTTTTGTCCCAAAGGCAAACAATTTTATTGCGGTCCATGTGTGCTTATTTGGTGAGAGTTACCTTTTCTGGGCTGCATAATTCCATATGTGGAGCGATTTGCCAATTCTGCGCATTCAAATCACGCGCACAACGTACAATTGGTTTGGTGTCATGGCTAAATGGCAACTGTTTTCCAACACTGGCAATAAATTGTACTGCCACTAGTATCGAGTACCGTTTGCCGCTAAAAACCATTCAAAATAAGAAAGCTTGCATTCGCACTAAACTAATATAAAACGGAAATAGGCATCTATTAAAAAGTTGGCAGGCGTTGGAAATTTATGTATAATATAGATATGTCTTGTAAGTTAGCTCAGCAACAAACTTTTCTAGAAAAGTTGTAGAAAAAAAAAGCCAAAATGATATGGAAGAAGTATTTTTGAAAGAATTACATATGTTCCTTAAACATTTACTGGCAAATGATTTGGTTATTTTGTTGAGTTGGGTTCTCAATTTAAAGTACCTTCTATGGCGAACTAAAACATCAAAACCTAACTATGTATATACAAACTCCATTTCAGTAAACCTAACCTTACTTAGACTCTACACTTACATGTGAAGCCTACCCTATTGCCCTTTCCTTCTCCAGTAACGATACGCTATGACGACAGTCTGTACTAGAAATGATTGTTCTTGATATGTAAAACCAAATTGTAGATCATTGTATTCTAAAATGGGTAAGTGATTTTTCAAAATAATTGTGGCGTTGAGATATTATAATGGCTTCTATATGGATCTCTCCAGACAAGTACTATAGTCCACAGTGAAAAGTAAGCAATATGCCCAAAAAACACTACGAATCCGTTTTAAAAGATAACTTTTTGGAGGCAATTCCAGAACTGCGCGGGAATAAATGACTTAGTTTGCAACGACCTTTTCGAATAATTTCAAACTATAATTGATATGGTACGATTTCGAATAAAAAATCGTTTGGTTCCTAAAGACAATGAATAGAAATCACGTTTTATGATAGAAGATTTGTCAGTAGACACAATAAAGAATATTATATTATATTATAAAAGAAAGGAATGAATAAATAACGCTCTTAGCTCACCAAATTTCGTACAACTGTTTAATTTGATACTGCCACTTGCAGACCCAGTTTCTGGATGCCACAGCCAACAAATAGAACACAACATTGTTTAAATGCAAGCAATTTTTATATATTTTAAGCAAATGGTCTGCAAACGGAAGTGTTTTTCGAAATAATATTTTCAACAACTTCTTGAGTTTTTTTTCGTATTGTTCCACAAACCTTGTAACATGCGGCATAAAATGTCAGTGTTACATATAATTTATAATGATCGGTATATAATATTTTTTGAACAGCATTACAAACGCGTTTAGTTATATTATTGTTGTGTATTGTCATGTGCGTCTGGCAGCTAAAGGGCCTTGCGCTTATTCAGCCTTGACAGGCACATAAGTTAAGATAACCGTGGAATACGGCTCCAGTTCCAATTCGGCAATGCCAAATTTGGCTCTGAAAGTAGAATATATACGTTTAAAGAGAAATGTTGATCATATGAAGACATGCTTGGCTTACTTGACTTGCACTTTGGTGGCGTTATTGTTGAGATAATCATCACTAACATGCAGGACAGTCATTTTATCCGGCAGATCGTGAACATCGACGAAATTGCCCTTCACAGGCTGATCGGTGGGATTGAGGAGCACAAAGTAGCCGGGATTGCCAGACTTTATTCTATAGGGAAAAAAATTTGGCGAAACAATTCAGTAGAATTAAAAAATCTGGTGAATATTTGGAAGAATTCGAGGTTTGTTAGAGTTTACCTTTGCCTTATAAGAGCAAGCATGAGTTAAAGGAGTGGAAAAGTAGTAAGTATAATGAAGCTTTAAATGTAGCCAACATTGTTGTCAGAACATTAAATGTCTTGTGTTTATTAATAATTAATTAATTAATTCTGACAACAAATATGGCATGAAGGGTCCTAGCTATAGGCTTGCAGCTTACCTGGAATAGGCCACCAACGGATCAGCGCTATACATCTTGATTTCGCCATGCATATACGAAGGAGACTTGCGCAACAGTTCGATGTTGGTGTAAGTCTGTGCCGACACTTCATTATACATGAAAGAGTTCGCCGGTACCACTGGTACGCCCGGCAGCAAGGACATGAAGAGCGCAATTGCCGAATGATGTATTTTGGGCTTTGCTTCCACAACTCCGAAGTCCCATTGCAACCAGCCTTTGCCCATTTCCAATGTTTGGTTCAGAGACAGTTGCACATTCTCATTAGGCAATGGAGAGCTTAATGTGTGCACGAATCGGCCATATATGGGCAAATCAATGCCTAGAGGGCCGGCATTGCTTATTTCATAGGCACTGGGTCGAATAATGTCCTCGGCCACTGATAGGAAGGCATCGGCGGAGGCGTTCTTCACAATACTGAGGTAGTCGTAGAGCACATCGCCCAGACCTTCTTGGAAGGCGGTGCGCTTGTGATTGTAGAAACCGTAGCTGCTCACATCGGAGTTCAAGTCCTTCGGGAAGGTAGAAACATCTTCATCGGCCAGATTTGGAGTTAGCATAAAGAATTTAGTGTTCTTGAGACGGAATCCATGCACGCCTAGTCCAATAAGATGTTGCAGTACATCTCCAAACTCCTGACGCACCAGCGAGTTATTCATTTTCAGATCATAGAAGCCATCATCGAATTGCGACAGCACATAGCTATCGCCAACTTTCTCCCAGGCCGTGCGATTGCCGCCCACTTTGAGCCAATTCGTTGGCTCGGCGGCTCCAGCACCGTTGACCCAAACGAAGGCATCGCGTTTGGTCACATCGGTGAGTGCCTCCTTAACCAAACGTGAATCTTTGCTCATGATGTTGGGTGTCAAATCCAAAATGACACGCACATCACTGTTCTTGTAATGATCCACCAGTTCCTTGATTTGTGCCTCCACATTACGCTCCTTGACCTGATAGGTGAGTGCGGCCGGCAATTCATAAATGGCACCAGCTGCTTGCAATTTCTCCACAACATTTATATCTTTGGGCGAGGCGTCATCCAAGCTACCGAACTTGGCGTGCACGCCACGCTTATACCAGGGCAGCGGTTGCGGAGCAGCGCACTTGGGTGCGCCCACAATAATGAGTATAGCGCCCACCAGCATGCCCACCCAAATGGCCCAGAAACAAACGAAGAATATCCAACGCAAGCGCACCCAGAACGGATCGTTGGCGTACTTCATGAGCTCCTCCTTGGACATGCCAGTAAAGGCCTGCAAAATAAATTTGTTTGAGATTTGGGTAAAGAAAAAATGTGCACGTTGCACGATTTCAAGGCCTCATTTAGTGGTTTGTTATTACATACCTGCTTGCCATTAGGATTTCCAATATCTATCTTGGCGTCACCATTCTGCTGATCACCTTTGATGAACTTAACCTCATCCCGACGCTCGGCCAATTTCTCATCCGCGCCGAGCATTTGCTCATCGGCGCCATCGGCGGCTACTTTTTCATCCTGCACCATGTTGCTGAGTGCGACTGTAGGGAAAGAAATAAAATACTTTCTTAGAATGTACAGTCAGTGGGAAATCATAAATTGAATCAATTTAGCTTTAATTAAGCGACAGCTGAGAACGCACGTAAGCTGATTCTCGACTTTTGTCAAAGCTACAGCAATAAAGCTCCGTATTCAGAGTCTCATGTGATTTAAAGCGGTGCAATTTTGAGGTTATCTGTATGTGTGTGTGTCTTCTTATCATTGGCATAATCAAATAATCCTCATTTTTCTTATAACTGACCTTAAGAGCAATGGCTGCATAGTCCTACATTTATTCTTGGTACAAACGCCCAACATACACACATACATACAGTTACATACATACATATGTACATACACAGAGTCAAACAATGGAACTTTACATTTGTCTGACGTCACAGAGTGCGTTCATTGTCGAAAATTTGCACTGTGCTATAAAAAATGCCTGGATTTAACGCATCTTTGCGTTATCTCTACGCAGATTGTTTAGTTCTATGAACTGATAAGGAACACAACCACATATGCACACATAAATTGCTTTTTCCCATTGTTCACAAAATCGCACACTCACACATATACATACATACATATGTAAATGCTGTGTAATGATTGCTGTTTGTTACGTCAGCTAATAAATGGGGGCTCATATGCCACATTTTGTTGTATTTTTAGTAGTACTTCTATGATTTAGTTTAAATTACCTGTGGATTCCTTTGCGCTGCCTGCTAGCAATTTATCTTCAGTTATAATTTTATAAACTTCTCTACACGCTGCCTTTTCAATCTCTTTTACTGCCACTTCTGTCACTGACGCCTCTTTTTTCTCAACTGGCACAGTCGTGATGTTGGTGGTGGCAGTGAAACGTTTAAGGCGCGCAAATAATTTCATCGTGCACGAAAGCGTAAGGTTGTCGTGAGCGGCGCGTGAGAGCTGTCACACAGTGATGAGACCGAGAGAAGGTTTTAAGGAAATTTCTAGGGAAATTTATGTGGCGCGGCAATTTTGAAATGCAAAGAAAGTACAATTTTGTTTAGTATGATTGCAAAATAATAAAGTTAGTGAAATTAAAAGCGATTATAAAGATACTTAAAAGAATAATCAAATATAACAATTTTATTTATTTTATTATTCACAAAATAATTGTATATTGGTTATATAGAATCGAAACTATTTAATTTGTTGAACTTTGTTAATATGTAGTTTGAGGGAATTTCATTCAAACGTAAATGCAGCCCCCCAAACGAATCACATAATTATATTTCAATATTTTATTTCAAAACAATAAAATTCCCTCAGCGGGCAATTATATTAGTGAGATTTATTATTCTTCATGTGTTTTGTAAAACTGTTCTTATATCATCAGCTTGTCTTGTTGACCCAAATAAATAAATTGCTTAAACTATCAATGTCACTTTCACTGAAGGCTAAAAGCCAATAATAATTTCACACTTTGGTTTGCTATAAAAATGTACGTTTTGTTTCTTTTTGTAATATTTCTTTATGCCAGCAAAACAATATAAACAATCGTTGACAGTGCTTAAGAACTTTATTTTATTGATTTAAAATTCACTTTGCAATCTGGTTTTCGTTAATGTTGACATGCATTCATGCAAATAGTTTCATTTTTAAATCAGTTTATGTAAGCAATAACATGAATGATTTATTTAATCAAAAAATCAATGGACTACCACATTTAATTATCACCCTTCAATTTGCACTTGCTTATAGGGGGTATATGGATATGGATAGATCGTCTCGCCTGCCAATTTCTGCGTCTCTCTTCGGTCACTGACCAGACAGACTGAAACTGCAACTTTGTGTATAGAAGCGCTAAAGGTGCGTACTGCTGCCACTCCACAACCAATCTCGAATAACGTTGGCGTCATAGCCACATTTGGTTTAATAATACACCATGAACATACACACATACATACATATACATACATATGTATGTGCAAAAGTACATATGTATTGTCGGTCTCAGCGCATAACGCTTAAGTTGCAATTTACGCGAATTGGCAGTCAGAGGCAGGCCTCAACAACTACCTGTCTGCCAGCAATATTGGGTACCTGTGCGACCTGAAGTTGCACGTTGTTTGTTTAGTTTTTTTATTTTTCGAGCTGGGCATTGAACGCTTTATGCTTGTTGCAAAAAAAAGAAAACAGAGCAGCCGAGAAAACTGCAGTAGTCGACGCATTCCATGTCCAAATCTGCAACATTACTCGATTCGGTCAATTGGAAGATTTTGGTATGTAAGAATAAGAACTGAACAGATCGAAATGTTAATGTATGGCTAGATGTTGTAAATGGAATGTTGAAACTGAATTGTTAATCAAATTTTGAATGCAATTCAAATTATTTAAAGTTCAATTTAAAATAAAAAAAGTGCTTTGAATTTAATTGGTTTGCATAATCCGACCACCCCTTTCAGTTTTAAGTTTCTAAAGAAAAGTAAAGTTTAATTTATTATTTTCAAAATATAACTGCCAACATACAGAGCCATACAGAGGACTGGTGAGTGATGGTCTTAACAGCTGAGCCTCAACAGCGAGTCTTAACAGCTGCTCGCTTTGCTTGCCATTAACTCAACTTATTCCCCACACTACAAAAAGCCCACCACAGCCAAGAGGTGAATATCTGAATATGAATTTTGTGAGCTGCGTAAGAAATCATGAGAGGTGTCTTATTTTGAAAAATGTCTTTGTGCTTTAACAACAAGTATTTTTTATTGATTTTAATATAATTTTAAATAAAATTGGTTAAAATGCTACTTTTTTAACTAATCTCGCTTTACCACACTCAAGCCAACTTATACTTTACTTTTAATGCGATGTACGATTCCGTTAGTCCTTAACTATTCAGCGTTTTAAGAAAGTACATTATGGGTTCTCTTGTGAAAAGCTTTCCAAACGTAATACTCAAATGTAGGGCCAGCCTCGATCGGCGGCGGTAGGAACCAATTAGATAAAACTAAATTGTTCAAATTGTGTTCAAATTGGTTATAATTTACTTAACATGCAATGCCCATTGCAATAATGGGTTAAGCTCGTGGCAATAAATGCGAGTTCGAGCCATGTAGTGCGACTAGTGTATTAGAAGATCAGCCCACAGAAGCAATGGCTTTTTGTATTGAACGTCAACTGATGCTGTGTGGCATTATAATGCTGCTATATCTGACAAAGTCCAGTTTGGCCAGACCGCAGGTGAGTTAAAGACCACCACAAATAATGAATGTTAGCTCGGACAAAAGAAGAAAAAGTTGATCTCGCGAGTGCCTCTGTTTTGGCAGATCCTCGCAGTGAACTTGGAAGAGGGCTATGACAATGGCGACACTGGTAATGGGGAGAACAAAAGTGAGGAAGATGATTCGTCCTCTGAGGAAACGGTTGAGGACTCAGACGAGCCACCATCCCGTCGACGTCGATCTGCAGAAACAAGCACATCAAGTCGAGCTGGAATACCAGGACTGCCAGATCCGTCAACAATTATAAAAATTGCGGAGCTCTTTCAAAGCGTTGGCGAAAAAATTGTTCCCATTATTCTCGAAGCTGTTCTCCCAGCCAACGATTTAGCGGGCGAGCGAATTTCCCGAGATCTCATGATCCTCAAGAACTACAAGCAAAATCTACAATCTACAATCTCGAATGAGTTGCAAGCCAATTGAGTTTAAAACAGTCTTTAAAAGCGGTCCCTCAGAGGGTACATTTTTTAATTCTGTATAAATGTATGTGCATATACATATCAAATAAATACATACATGCTCCAGAAATCATTATAGTGCGGGCACTCCCGCTTCATATTCTTGAATAATAAGTTCAACAGCATACCTACAGTTTCGATGACACTGACACCACACCATAGGTTCGAAGATATTATAATAGAAATCACTGGATCTGCGGAGCCTCCTTGGCATAGTTGTTCTATACGCGTTAGAAGGCTCTCTCGTATGCCCTTAATGATGTACGCAGCTAAGTAATTCTCTTCAAATATATCTCTGCATTTATTGAAGAAATCTTGGCCTGGTTTTGCCAATGCGGAACTTTTAGCACCCTTCACCTGTGGCACCAATACTAGACACAGACAGCAACAAATTGCAATTGTAGAACGCTAAAAAAAAATGAAAACCATTTAAAGTTACTATTTAAGTTGTTTTAAAGCCGATTCTAAAAACTCTTACCATCTCTGACGTTGAACAAACACGTTTTGAATCTAAAATTCGTACCACTCGCTGCTTTAACCGAGTCATTTGATAAACAAGAATGTAATGCCTATTAGTTACGCAACCATTGCATCTGAGAATACGTTGGGAGCTTGACAAGCCAATAGTCTTTAATATGCGATAAATATATTGGAAAATTTCTGAAACACTTACTTATATGACGTTATAGATGTATATAGTTTCTTGGCTAAGAGCACGAAGCTTTACTTTTGTTTAGATGGCCATGTCGCTGATGGCATACATTTTCAGATGAAAAATAATAGACAAAATAATTTCTAAAATATCCTTAACTTATATGGTTTTTTGAAATTACAAGTATATATAACATTGCCTCATCTTGATTTTGTGGCAAATATGTTAGGGTATTTTAAAATTCACTTTTTAGGGAAAGCGAGAGTCACAAGTTTCATAAAGTGTCAAAGGACTCACCTGACCTACACACACACACACACACACACTCATACAAACGCCCATACGGCTGGACAATATCGAGGACATAGGGGCGTTAGCTCTTTATCAGACAGCTATCAAAATACAATTTGTACGACCTTGTACAAATGGCTTTGGCAACGTGCAAGAGAGCTGTGTTATTTAATCATAAATTATTAAGTCATAACAATTGGCTTGTACATATAATTTAAGTTTATTAAGTAATTAAAGCACGGAAAAGAGCCTTGTTTTATTTAATCGTAATAATTACTTTACATATTGGTGCTTAAAGTGGTTTTGGTAAGGAGTCTATTATTTTTTCATTTATAAGTTATTTCAAATTAAAGTTTCTCTTTACACAATTTTAGTGATTTCCGTTATAAGCAACTGATTTCTTTAACATTCTTCCCGAACATTTTCTTTTCCAGCGCTTTACCGAAAATTTTCAATTGAAGCAAATATTTGTTGCATACTTCTAGGCTGCGTCAATAATTTGTTTGCTGATGAATTACAAAAAGTTCAAAAATGCATTAAGTTATCTTTTTAGCTGCAAGTTTTAACTTTCGGTTGGTATTAAAAAAATAAACTTAAATAAATGTTGATGTTAAAAATAAAATTTTAAATTTTATAGATTTTTTTAAAAGGACTTTTGTCTTAAAATCGTGAGAAACATTTCAATGGATTATTTGTATTTTCTTTTCAAATAAAAAGAAGCATGAAAGTCATGTCAAAATGTTAAAAATCAGTATTGATGGATGCAACTATATGATATGAATTGTCATAATATCAACTTGTAAAAAAATCGTTGAGTTTATAAAATGATATGCTTTGATGTGTCAGGTAAATAAATTTACTTTTACCCTAAAACCTTGTCGTTTTTCGCGGGTTTTATTTTCGTTTTTTTCTTTGATTTTCGCATTTTAAATGGAATTCCCGCCTGGTCGTTTAAATCGCATAATTTAATGTGATGACTAGCTTATATTGAAGTATTGGTATATAGCTAACAAACAAAGTCTTACCTTTTTGAAAAAGTTCCTTTGTTTTATGAGTATAAAGGTTTGTAAACATAAAATAAATAGTCCGATAAGGCAGATAAAACGTATTTCGCTTTCAGATTGTAATGTTTTCAGAATTTTCATTTTTACAGTCCAGATGAATACAATTATTTATTTGCTGAGAATGGAACCATTTTAATCAACACTTTTCTCTGGTTTAAAATGTAAATTTTATGCTGTTTGATTAACTAATGAAAAGAAATCTTTAAAAATATTATTATTTTCCAAGTAAATGAAAAGAGTTTAATGCTTTTATTAATTTCTATTATACTTAATGCCATTTAATAGATGAAATAACAGCATCTTTCTTCATTAACATTTCAATCGGAGTGAGCGACTTTTCACATTCCAGTTACATATTTGAAGAGTTTTTAAAATACTTGTATGATATAAAATATAGCAAGCATAAATATGCAGTTGGTTCATCTGCTTTGTGGAAAGTAGCAAATAATAATCACAACAACAATAGCAACAACAAGAGCGTCTAAGTGAATTGTCGTGTTGACAATGCGAGGGTCGCACCGTAAAGTAAAAGTTAATAGGCTCGTGCAGCACTCAAGTATTTAAACATTGGCCCGTTTGTAATCTGAGCTGCATGCCACGGCATTATGCAGCCATGAGTGGCGAGTATGTGTACGTGTGTGAACATCCTTCTTTGTGAGACAGACAGACAAACAGACAGACAGGCAGACAGACAGACAGGCAGACAGACTGTCTGTAAGCAACTTAAAGTTACTTTTGCTGTTCGTGCGATGCTTGTTATGCTCTTTTGTTGTTGTTGCTAACACAGACAGTCTTTTATTTATTGTATAAACAATTTCATGAGTTTTTTGTTTATTTGCTTTCTTCCACATTTTGTTGCGCCCCTCCACATGTTGCCTGAAGTATGAAGTTCGACATAATTGATGCCTTGGCCCTGCACTTGGGCCCCCCGCCCGAGAACTCGTTGGCAAATGGAAATGGCTCCGCAAATATGCAAGAAGAGAAACTTCAGTTTTTGCGCTAATTTGTGTTTAACACATTATGCAAAACTTTGCAGTAGGCTCTACTCTTTTTCTTTCTTTTTATTTTCACGCTTATTGGACCCTTGCATTGAACAGGCCTGAGGAGGAAAAAAAAAACAAGAAAAAAAGTGAAACACAAACAACTTACATCTTCAGTTTGTGTAAATAAAGTGAGGAGAGTACAACAAAAAAAAAAAAAAAAAAATGATGAACAAGTGAGAACAAGTGAGGAGGGCAACAAAAACGCACTAAAGACTGAACGAGCGCCAATGCTCGAGTGTTTTCTTTATAAACAGAAAACTTAATGATGTTGATTTAGTACAACAGGCCGAGCCAAGCCAGGCCAGGCCAGGCCAGCACAGGCCAGGCCAGTTCAGCAAAGATCCCAACGCACTGATCCAGCAGCAGTCAAGCAAGCAGCTCGCTTCCTTCCACAATCGCACTCACAGATACACACACACACACACACACATGCATAATCATAATGTGGCACAATATGCATGTTTGTTTGTTTGTTCGCCTGCTGCGCTGAACACTTTTTCAGATTTGCCCGCACCCGCACAGTGGTCACAAATTGCAAGTTACCTGCACAACTATTCTCTGCTCAGCTGCATTAAATGCTTAAAATGGTGTTAGCCTTGATGCAGAAAGCATATTATAGGGAGAGATATTCAAATTGGAGTCATCAAGTGCTTAGCATCGTTATAAATAAATTGAATGATAAGAGCTTGTAATTAATTTATAAATATATTATTCTAATTCAGAAATTGCAGAGAAAAGTTTTTATTAATAGTTTCGAAACCACAATATTGCTTTGTGGTTCGGGTTCATTCATTAAGCAATTACTTGGAAACTTATATGTTGTTTTCATACAAGTATATCAAATATTGAAATAACAATAGTGTTTAGTTTTTGGTGTTCACCCGAAGTTTTTTTAAATTATTTGTTTTTGATAAATAATTTCGTTTTCCATATCGGAAATATAGTCGAATTTTACATGTGAATGCATTTTTAGTAAAAATAAACTTTCTTAAATTAAGTTTCAGAGCGTCTCTTTGAGCATGTGCTTGTGTCTGCTTCTTCTTTACAATCAATCTCTTAATTTGTATCGACTTATTCTATCTCTTATATCGACTAGTCTTATTTTCGATAACTTACTGATTACATTTTATACACAACAAAATTAAAACAATTTAAGTTATTCCTAATCTCAATAGGAATTACGTTTTCAAAACAGCAAAATATATTCAGAAAATAAAACCTACAAATGTAAAGGACTGTTACTTTTGAGGTACACATTCATATCCATATACAAGTAAATAAATGATTTCTATAGATTGGTTGATTTGTTAAAAAGTGCCCTTAAAGTCACAGTCTTTTCGATAGCGATAAGAGAAGAGCAGCCCATCTAGCATTACAAAAATTAAAAGGAATATAATAGATAACGGGACTCCAGGCACTTACGAAGGCCGATCAGTTTTGTGTCCATTTTAATTTTATTTCAATTTTATAAACTGGCTATATAAATAAAAGCTTCAAATATTATTTTGGAGTTTTAAAACTTGAACTTAAACACAGAAACTAACTGGCTTACCTCAATTACTTAACAATCCCGTATTTGTTTTATTTAGTTAATTGTACCTATGTTTTTTTTATAATTTAGAAATATGTATTCTTAAATGTACACTTCTTTCCTAATACGTTCTTTTCTTAATTCTATTGATCTTGAAACCTTTTATCTGAATTTTGTAATTATGTAAATAGAATAGAATAAATTGAATTTGTTGCACCCTTTATTAGATTAAATAGCAACATGTTGGCATTCAGAAAGATGAACAATTTCAAATTTATTTTACTATAGTTTGGAATGACTTGATTGAGAGTTGCAACCACTGTGCCTCGGTTGGGGACGGCTCGTCAACATGATTTGCAATTTACACAAATTCATTCAGCGCTGGCGTTGATGGCAACGACAACTTAGGCCAACTTCGCTGGCCCGCATGCCTGCTTCATTAACACGTCTTTAATGCCGGGGCAGAGCTACGCATGTTTTACAATGTCT